AGTTTGGACCCGGTTTGGTTTGGACCTAGTTTGGTTTGGACCCGGTTTGGACCCGGTTTGGTTTGGACCCAGTTTGGTTTGGACCCGGTTTGGTTTGGACCCAGTTTGGTTTGGACCCAGTTTGGTTTGGACCCGGTTTGGTTTGGACCCGGTTTGGTTTGGACCCGGTTTGGTTTGGACCCGGTTTGGTTTGGACCCAGTTTGGTTTGGACCCAGTTTGGTTTGGACCCGGTTTGGTTTGGACCCGGTTTGGTTTGGACCCGGTTTGGTTTGGACCCGGTTTGGTTTGGACTCGGTTTGGTTTGGACCCGGTTTGGTTTGGACCCGGTTTGGTTTGGACCCGGTTTGGTTTGGACCGGAGCCCCAGTTTGGACCCGGTTTGGTTTGGACCCAGTTTGGCTTGTACCCGGTTTGGTTTGGACCCGGTTTGGTTTGGACCCGGTTTGGTTTGGACCCGGTTTGGTTTGGACCGGAGCCCCAGTTTGGACCCGGTTTGGTTTGGACCCAGTTTGGCTTGTACCCGGTTTGGTTTGGACCCGGTTTGGTTTGGACCCGGTTTGGTTTGGACCGGAGCCCCAGTTTGGACCCGGTTTGGTTTGGACCCGGTTTGGTTTGGACCCAGTTTGGTTTGGACCCGGTTTGGTTTGGACTCGGTTTGGTTTGGACCCGGTTTGGTTTGGACCCGGTTTGGTTTGGACCCAGTTTGGTTTGGACCCGGTTTGGTTTGGACCGGAGCCCCAGTTTGGACCCGGTTTGGTTTGGACCCAGTTTGGTTTGGACTCGGTTTGGTTTGGACCCGGTTTGGTTTGGACCCGGTTTGGTTTGGACCCGGTTTGGTTTGGACCCGGTTTGGTTTGGACCCGGTTTGGTTTGGACCTAGTTTGGTTTGGACCCGGTTTGGTTTGGACCCGGTTTGGTTTGGACCCGGTTTGGTTTGGACCCAGTTTGGTTTGGACCCGGTTTGGTTTGGACCGGAGCCCCAGTTTGGACCCGTTTGGTTTGGACCCAGTTTGGTTTGGACCCGGTTTGGTTTGGACCCAGTTTGGTTTGGACTCGGTTTGGTTTGGACCCGGTTTGGTTTGGACTCGGTTTGGTTTGGACACAGTTTGGTTTGGACCCGGTTTGGTTTGGACCCAGTTTGGTTTGGACCCGGTTTGGTTTGGACCCGGTTTGGTTTGGACCCGGTTTGGTTTGGACCCAGTTTGGTTCAGGTGTTCTACCTGTGAACACGGCCAACTTTGACTCGTCTTGCGCCGCCTGCTCCAGAGCTGCTATGATCTCGTTGTACATCTGAAAGAAGACATGAGGGCAACAGGAAGTGAAGCAGCAGGAAATGACGTCACACTCCATCATAAGGGCTTCCTGGTCTCACCAGCTGACCTCAGGTGTGATGGCGTTCTTCTTGGCCGGTCGGTTCAGTTTGATGGTGGTGATGTCGTCCTCCGTAGAGACCAACAGTGTCTCGTATGTGGCTCCGCCCCCAGCAGGCGTTGCAGTGACCTGGGCGGAGCTTCCTCCCTCTGCCTCCACCAGGGAACCAATCAGATTGCAGTACTGCTCCCTGGCTTCATCCTGATAGGAAGAGATCTCAACGCTGTCAGTCGCTGGAGAAAAGTTCTGGTCCACTGGTTGTTTTTACAAACAAAACGACATTCTGACCTTACAGAAAGGAAACGATCCTTTCTGTAAGGTCAGAAACAGAACCATGGATCCGACCAGAACCACAGAGGACGTGATGGACAATCGGTACCTGAGAGATGGAGCCCAGAGATTTCCACGCGTCCCATTTGACCTTGTTCACAAAGTCCAGCATCCCTGGTTTAGGAGTGTTGCAGGGACCCTGAGTGGCCTGGAGGAGGAGGAAGAGCGTTACTATTTGGACCTAAAGGTGTTTATGTGCAGATGATGGTCCAGCGCCCCCTGCTGTTTCTGTCTGAACCAAACAGAACCAGAAACAGTTGTTTCTGGTTCTGTTTGGTTCAGGCCTGAATGCTGGAGGAGCAGAACCAGAGAATGCTCCGCTAGGCTAGGCTACGCTAGGCTACGCTAGGCTAGGCTACATTCCAGTTTTCCTCATAAACACTGTTTGGACCCTTCAACTTAAGACGACAGGTTCAGTTGTGGTCCAGAGACCAGAACCAGAACCGACTCCCAGCATGCCTCAGTGACACCTCCTGGAGGTGGACGTCCCCATCCTCCGTGCTGAGACATTGGGTCAGAACCACACAGCTGCAAAGACCCATCCAGTTCCATGACTTTGATCCAGACCACAGTAAGGTTCTTCTGTGGTTCTGGTTCTGAACGCTGAAGGTCAAAGCTGGTTCTGGGTCTTGGCTTCATCTCATTTCCCTTTGATCAAAATCAGAAACTGCCAGTAAAAGCTGGTTCTGACCCGCCATTTGTCCAGCCAGAACAACAGACCCGGTTGGTTCTGGATAACCAGAACATCTGATGAACTGAAGATTCTGCTGACCTTTAAATGTTTAACTTTTTGGTTCTGAAAAGGTTCTGATACTGAGCGCATGCAGGAACCTCCAGAACCTTCACGACCCGGTTGGAGAACAGAACTTCGTCACCTGCTTGAACAGAGCGTAGATCTTCAGCTTGACCTCGTTGCCCGGATCCGTCTTCAGCGCTGACAGTTTGCTCTTCGCCTGTTCGAACTGCTCCACCGTCGCACCTGAGGACACAGACAATCAGAGAACACCGTCTGCTGGTGGCAGCTGAGTGGATCAACCTGGACCCGCTGCAGACTCACCCCTCATGGGCGACGCCGTGGTCCAGAACGTCAGACTGGGAACACTGGTCCGGAGCAAACTGGGGACACAGAGACGTCCAGAGCTTTACATTTACTTTATATATGTGTAGTCTAATACATAGATAAATTACTTTCACTGCGTCCTGCTTTAGGGCCGCGACCCCCATGTTGAGCCCCTGTCAGGTGTTTTCTGTCTGGGGCAAAGGTCACTGGTCCTCCTGCAAGGTTTCAGCTCATAAACTGTGACTGTAACTGATCATTTGAGTCCACTTTCAGCTCTCAGAGACCCGGTTCTGGTTCTGGTTCTGGTCCATGTAACTCTTGAATCATTCCGGTCAAAGTTCAAACATCGCGATAACTGACATGACACGGTCATCATTTTAATGTTACCTGGTTAGCTTAGCGAAGCGCCACGCAGAGCAACTGTTCAGGGCGGCAGCGGCCATCTGAACCCGGTTCCGGTCCAAAGTTCGGGAGGACAGGCAGAGAAACGGAAGAGAGCGCTAGCCCTACAGTAGCTAGCGGCAGCTAACGAACAGGTCCCGCCCACTCCACCGCGCTCTGCACTGCTATTGGTTAAAGGGAAGCGCCGCAAACTCGGGTTTGTCCAATAGTCGGAGGGCAGCACCAATCAGAGCCCAGGATGCTGCTTAGAGCCCGCCCTCGTGGTTCCGACTGACCAATGGCTGCCGCGGTCTCATGAATTATGCGGTGGTCCAGCAGTTAGAAACAGGAACTGCTGAGATGATGAGTTTGTTGATTTGTTCATGAAGTTCTGTTTCAGAGGACGGGCTGGCTGCTTCAGGTGTTTCAATTTATCACCTGCTGCATAATTATGACCTAATGTTTAGAAAACGAATCCATCATGGCGGACAGCGGAACCAGTCCGGGATGAAAGTGGTCCTGGGTTTTTCATTGTCCAACCCGGACGGGACGGTTCCCCAAGTTCAGCACCAATAAGGTTCTGACCCAGTGGACTCTGACCCGAACCCAGTGGCGCAAAATGGGGCGCTGCGCTAGAGGGGCGCCAACACGATGATTTTCTTCTAGTCAGCATTTTATGACTGAACAGCTGTTTGTGTATGAAGTGATCAATAACAGGATCAGCACTGATTGGACCCGCCTCCACTCCACAGTGAGGCTTTTTCTCTTTAAGTTTGAATTGTAGTAATGAACTCCACAACAAGGAGCCAAAGATGGCGGCAGGAAAACCTTCAGGGCAGAAGAAAAGCTTTTCAAAGAGAGTCATCGGTCAGAAAATCTTTTCTGAGGCCATCGTGGCTCTGAAGGGCCGACCAGCTCTCTCTCTCTCTCTCTCTCTCTCTCTCTCTCTCTCTCTCCCAGGATTTGGCCCACAGCATGACTCCACCACCTCCTTGCTGACGTCACAGCCGTGTTGGGACGTGGTGGCCGTCCTTCACTGATCCACGACTGCGTCCATTTCAGCAGCTGATCTCTTGATCCCAGGAACCAAACAGAAACTTTCCTCTTTAGTCTGTAAACCATCTTTGTTCTCAATCAGCCACGAATCTCTTCCCAGTACGATGAAAACGCTTCAGTTTCCCTTAAATATCTCATGTTTTCACAGCTTGTCATGCGGCTCTACTCTCTGATGGTTTCATCAGCAGAGATCGTTTCTCCTCCCATGCTGCTGGAATCCTGATGAATAATGTGGAACATCCTTAGATTTCCATTAATGGAGCTAAACTGATCAAGCAGCTCTCAGAAATGAATTACAGTGACACACAATACCATCTATAAATTTAATGGCACAAGAAAAAATGTCGTCTTTATGACACTTAAATCCAGTTTGTAGAATAATTTGGAACAGAGGCAAACAGAAGTGGCTCTTTGGCTCAGTTATATTAATATTGCCCTAAGATGAGTCAGACACCTTTATGTCCCAGTGGGGGCGGGGAGGGGGGTATGTTCACTTACACCTCAGAAAGTTCTGACCTGAATGCAGGTTCTGATCGGGTCCACAGGAGAAACCAGAGAGCCACTTCCTGTGATGGACTGGAGACAGAATGGACGGATGATGATTGGATGTTTGAGCTCAGTGACATCATCAATCTTCAGACAGAACGTCTCTTCTTGACGTCTCGGTTCTGCTGTCCCCATCCGGTCTGTCTCTGGTGTCCCTCCCAGTCCTCCCAGCCCCCATTGACCAGTAAAGCTGCCCCTCCCAGCAGTTTCCATTGAGTGGGTAGCAGCAGAATCAGCAGCTCCTGAAGGGAGTCGCTGACTCAGCAGAACCCTTTGGCGCCGCGCGGACCCCCGGCGTATAAATTGGGCCGTCCAACTTTTTCTCTGTTACACTGTGTGAGTGGTTGAGGGACGGGTTGGACCAGAAACATGTCGCAGTACTCTGGAAAGGTGAGTAACTGGTACCGGTACCGGCTGATCCGGCTCTGGGTTGGTCAGAGGGATCAACTGATCCAGAGGGAAATTTATGCAATACAAGCAATAGCTCACTGGATCAGAACCAGAACCATTCAATGGATCAGAACCAGAACCATTCAATGGATCAGAACCAGAACCATTTTATGGATCAGAACCATTTAAAGGATCAGAACCAGAACCATTCAATGGATCAGAACCAGAACCATTCAATGGATCAGAACCAGAACCATTTTTATGGATCAGAACCATTTAAAGGATGAGAACCAGAACCATTCAATGGATCAGAACCAGAACCACTCACTGTGCCTCATGATTTGCTGTCACCCTCATTGCGGCTCCCTGCCAGCAGGCGGCGCTCTGACCAATCCATGATGCTGAATCTATTCTTCATGTCTGAGGAAGAAGGGGCGGGGCCAGGCTGCACATCCAATTAAAAGCTTTGGTTGGAGGTGGGCGGAGCTTCTTCTCCCTGTTTTGGTGTTTTCTTGCCGAGTTCTGGAAAGTTCTGACCCGATGTGACGTCAGATTGACATCATGCGTGGGCGTGGCCATAGCTGATGTTTGTCAGGCAGAAGCAACAGATGAAAGAGTTTTAACAGAACTGAATTCTGGTTCTGATCCGGTTCAGATCCTTTCATCTGGAAGCCGGTTCTGACCCGGTTCGTCCGGACAGAAGCACAGAGGTTTCGGTGTTGCTAACGGCTAACGGCTCCTCCTGCAGATCACCTTCTACGAGGGGCGGTGCTTCACCGGCAGGAAGCTGGAGGTCAGAGGTGACTGCGATAACTTCCAGGACCGCGGCTTCATGAACAGGTGACGAAGGTTCTGCAGTCTGCAGCTCATTTCCCTCCTGCTTTTCACAATAAAAGCCTTCCTCCCTGTGCTCAGAGTGAACTCCATCCGGGTGGAGAGCGGAGCCTGGATCTGCTACGACCATCCGGACTTCCGGGGGCAGCAGTACATCCTGGAGCACGGAGAATACCCAGAATTCCAGAGGTGGAACTCCCACAACGACCACATGGGATCCTGCAAGCCCATCCGCATGGTGAGCGCCCAGAGTGTCTGTAGACTAACCCGTCTGCTCTGAGGTCTGTAGACTAACCCGTCTGCTCTGAGGTCTGTAGACTAACCCGTCTGCTCTGAGGTCTGTAGACTAACCCGTCTGCTCTGAGGTCCGTACACTAACCCGTCTGCTCTGAGGTCCGTACACTAACCCATCTGTTCTGAGGTCTGTAGACTAACCCGTCTGCTCTGAGGTCCGTAGACTAACCCGTCTCTCTGCTCGCAGCACGGAGAGCACTACCGCATCGAGCTGTTCGAGGCCTGCAACTTCTCCGGTCAGTGCATGGACATCTGCGACGACTGTCCCTTCCTGCAGAGCCGCGGCTTCTCCAAGAGCTGCATCAACTCCGTCAGGGTCTACGGAGACGGAGCGTGAGTCCTGCACCACCCACACCACCAGAACACAACCGGTACCGGCTTGGCCCCTCAGGGTCCAAATCCGCCATGACAGGCAACATAGTTCTGGTTCTGGTCAGGCCCACTGATCCCAGTTATCAGCCGGGTCTCCTGGACAAGTGCTAGTGACAGTGGAGAGGAAAAACTCCAGTTTAACAGGAAGAAACTCCAACAGAACCAGAACCTGGATCGGCCCGTTTCCACACAACTCGTTCAGTTTTGCTTGTCTTTAAATGTCGGCGTTTTGTTGGGGACCCAACGTCTGTTTCCCTTCTTTTTGCTAGCCTAGCCTAGCCTAGCATCATCTCCAAGATGCTAGGTTAGGTAGCCAGGTAGTAGCATGAAGCTAGTCCTTTTTTCATCTTTGGTGTGACGGACCCGACTGGAACCGGATCTCCCAGGATCTTCTGGTTTAATCCAGAACCGGTTTCACTCTGGTCCAGGACCGGTTTCACTCTGGTCCAGGACCGGTTTCACTCTGGTCCAGGACCGGTTTCACTCTGGTTCAGGACCGGCTCGGTGAACTGGGAGGAGCTGGTGGAGGCTCTGCCTCCCAGTTGTTGACCCATAAATATTGGGTCAACAAAAACACCAACGAGGGTCTTTACTTCTTCAAATCAACGTCAGTCGGATCAAACGTTTGTTTTCAGAGGTTCTGGTCCAAAACCAGATTCTGTTTTTTTCTCAGAATTTGAAGGCAAATTTAGATTCATCCAGGTTTTAATCTGGATTATGGATGTTATTGAGAATCATCAGCATCACGTTTCCTGCTGTCGGAAGCAGATCAACAGAACCGGTGAAGCGGGCCGAACCAGAACCCCCATCCGTAATCCTGGAGTGTTTTATTCACATGATCATCTGGAACCTGAAGGAGAACCTCTGGGGTTCTGACCGGGTCCTCCCACAACCATCACAGCGTTCTGGTTTCTACCGGTCCGGTGAAGGTCCGGTTGCGGTTCCGAGTGTCTAACCTGTGATCCTCCCTGTGCCTCAGCTGGGTGATGTACGAGGAGCCCAACTTCCGGGGCCGGATGTACATCGTGGAGCGCGGGAACTACTGCAGCCCGACGGAGTGGCAGGCCCAGAACCAGAACCCCAACATCCAGTCCATCCGCCGGGTCGTCAACTACTTCTGAGCCTTCCTCCTCCTCCTCTTCCTCAGCAGGCAGATCAATAAACTGAGACAATCCAGTTTTTTATCAAACCGAGTCTCTGGGCTGATTCATCATCACCGGTCCGGTTCTGGTTCTGGTTCTACCTCACTGTTACTGTCGGAACAGAACAAGGTTCTTCTCTGGAGATCCATGAGGTTCCGGCAGCAGCAGAACCGGAACCAGAACCGTCCAAGTTTACAGAAACAGATTAAATGTGTGAAGTTACTGGATTCTGGTTCTGACCCACCGGTCCTGCAGGAAGAACCCGATTCTTCCCAAACATTTCTGGCCCTGCAGGCGGTTCTACGGGTCCAATGTTTTTATCTTTAAAAGTAACGATAAAATTAATAAAAAATCCATTATTGATCATAATTAATAAGTTTTTTTATGATTCCACTGGGAAAATAGTTTCTGCCTTTCAGCCTGTAAAGTCATTAAAACTCATCATTAAATGAACATTTAAAGCTTTTTCAATAAAATCAGTTCACTGACAAAATCCAAAACTCATCCAGGAATGATTAAAGTAATCAGAGGAAAAAATAAAACATCTGGAACCTGAATAAATTAGATATTAAATGTATTAATTGATTTGTCTGAAATAAACCAAACCTAATACTAAGATATTAAATGCAGCCACAGACTAATATTTATTGTCTAAAATAATGAGCAACACTATTTATAGAAAATTAGAGTATAAAAGTTTTTTGTTCCTAAAACAACCTGGAAGAATCCATAACTGAGGCAATTTATCATCATTATTGTCATAATAACTATAATTATTAGCCCTTGCAGTCGCACACTCTGCATCGTTCATCCTGCTATTTTTTCTTTTTCAAATTTCTATCCGTCCATCATCTGCCGTTTATCCAGGTCGGGTCACGGGGTCAGCAGGGTCAGCGGGGTCAGCAGCCTAAGGATGGAGGCCCAGGCTTCCCTCTCCCAGCCTTTCCTTCCAGATCCTCCAAGGGAATCCCACGGCGTTCCCAGGCCGGCCGGGATCATGGTCCCTGGTCTTCCTCTCCTCCCGGTGGGACCTGAACTCCTCACAGGGAGCCTCCATCATGACCAGATGCCTCAACTGGATCCTCTCCATGTGGAGGAGCAGCAGCTCTAGTCTGATCCCTCCTGGATGACTGAGCTTCTCTGTCAGGAAACCCAGCTCCCTACGTAGGAAACCCAGCTCCCTACGGAGGAAGCTCAGCTCCCTACGTAGGAAACCCAGCTCCCTACGGAGGAAACCCAGCTCCCTACGTAGGAAACTCAGCTCCCTACGTAGGAAACCCAGCTCCCTACGGAGAAAACCCAGCTCCCTACGGAGGAAACCCAGCTCCCTACGGAGAAACCCAGCTCCCTACGTAGGAAACCCAGCTCCCTACGGAGAAAACCCAGCTCCCTACGGAGGATCAGCTCCCTACGTAGGAAACCCAGCTCCCTACGGAGGAAACCCAGCTCCCTACGTAGGAAACTCAGCTCCCTACGTAGGAAACCCAGCTCCCTACGTAGGAAACCCAGCTCCCTACGGAGAAAACCCAGCTCCCTACGGAGGAAGCTCAGCTCCCTACGTAGGAAACCCAGCTCCCTACGGAGGAAACCCAGCTCCCTACGTAGGAAACTCAGCTCCCTACGTAGGAAACCCAGCTCCCTACGTAGGAAACCCAGCTCCCTACCTAGGAAACCCAGCTCCCTACGGAGGAAACCCAGCTCCCTACGTAGGAAACTCAGCTCCCTACGTAGGAAACCCAGCTCCCTACGGAGAAAACCCAGCTCCCTACGGAGGAAACTCAGCTCCCTACGTAGGAAACCCAGCTCCCTACGGAGAAAACCCAGCTCCCTACGGAGGAAGCTCAGCTCCCTACGTAGGAAACCCAGCTCCCTACGGAGGAAACCCAGCTCCCTACGTAGGAAACTCAGCTCCCTACGTAGGAAACCCAGCTCCCTACGTAGGAAACCCAGCTCCCTACCTAGGAAACCCAGCTCCCTACGGAGGAAACCCAGCTCCCTACGTAGGAAACCCAGCTCCCTACGAAGGAAACTCAGCTCCCTACGTAGGAAACCCAGCTCCCTACGGAGAAAACCCAGCTCCCTACGGAGGAAACTCAGCTCCCTACCCAGGAAACCCAGCTCCCTACGTAGGAAACCCAGCTCCCTACGGAGGAAACCCAGCTCCCTACGGAGGAAACCCAGCTCCCTACGGAGGAAACCCAGCTCCCTACGTAGGAAACCCAGCTCCCTACGTAGGAAACCCAGCTCCCTACGTAGGAAACTCAGCTCCCTACGTAGGAAACCCAGCTCCCTACGGAGGAAACCCAGCTCCCTACGGAGGAAACCCAGCTCCCTACGTAGGAAACCCAGCTCCCTACGGAAGAAACCCAGCTCCCTACGGAGGAAACCCAGCTCCCTACGGAGGAAACCCAGCTCCCTACGGAGGAAACCCAGCTCCCTACGTAGGAAACCCAGCTCCCTACGTAGGAAACCCAGCTCCCTACGTAGGAAACTCAGCTCCCTACGTAGGAAACCCAGCTCCCTACGGAGGAAACCCAGCTCCCTACGGAGGAAACCCAGCTCCCTACGTAGGAAAACCAGCTCCTACGTAGGAAACTCAGCTCCCTACGTAGGAAACCCAGCTCCCTACGGAGGAAACCCAGCTCCCTACGGAGGAAACCCAGCTCCCTACGTAGGAAACTCAGATCCCTACGTAGGAAACCCAGCTCCCTACGTAGGAAACCCAGCTCCCTACGGAAGAAACCCAGCTCCCTACGGAGGAAACCAGTTCCTTACGTAGGAAACCCAGCTCCCTACGTAGGAAACCCAGCTCCCTACGTAGGAAACCCAGCTCCCTACGTAGGAAACCCAGCTCCCTACGTAGGAAACTCAGCTCCCTACGGAGGAAACTCAGCTCCCTACGGAGGAAACCCAGCTCCCTACGTAGGAAACCCAGCTCCCTACGGAGGAAACTCAGCTCCCTACGGAGGAAACCCAGCTCCCTACGTAGGAAACCCAGCTCCCTACGTAGGAAACCCAGCTACCTACGTAGGAAACTCAGCTCCCTACGTAGGAAACCCAGCTCCCTACGTAGGAAACCCAGCTCCCTACGGAAGAAACCCAGCTCCCTACGGAGGAAACCAGTTCCTTACGTAGGAAACCCAGCTCCCTACGTAGGAAACCCAGCTCCCTACGTAGGAAACCCAGCTCCCTACGTAGGAAACCCAGCTCCCTACGTAGGAAACTCAGCTCCCTACGGAGGAAACTCAGCTCCCTACGGAGGAAACCCAGCTCCCTACGTAGGAACCCAGCTCCCTACGGAGGAAACTCAGCTCCCTACGGAGGAAACCCAGCTCCCTACGTAGGAAACCCAGCTCCCTACGGAGGAAACTCAGCTCCCTACGGAGGAAACCCAGCTCCCTACGTAGGAAACCCAGCTCCCTACGTAGGAAACCCAGCTCCCTACGTAGGAAACCCAGCTACCTACGTAGGAAACCCAGCTCCCTACGTAGGAAACCCAGCTCCCTACGTAGGAAACCCAGCTCCCTACGTAGGAAACCCAGCTCCCTACGGAGAAAACCCAGCTCCCTACGAGGAAACTCAGCTCCCTACGTAGGAAACCCAGCTCCCTACGTAGGAAACCCAGCTCCCTACGTAGGAAACCCAGCTCCCTACGTAGGAAACCCAGCTCCCTACGTAGGAAACCCAGCTCCCTACGTAGGAAACCCAGCTCCCTACGTAGGAAACCCAGCTCCCTACGGAGGAAACTCAGCTCCCTACGTAGAAAACCCAGCTCCCTACGTAGGAAACTCAGCTCCCTACGGAAAACCCAGCTCCCTACGTAGGAAACTCAGCTCCCTACAGAGGAAACCCAGCTCCCTACGTAGGAAACCCAGCTCCCTACGTAGGAAACTCAGCTCCCTACGGAGGAAACTCAGCTCCCTACGGAGGAAACTCAGCTCCCTACGTAGAAAACCCAGCTCCCTACGTAGGAAACTCAGCTCCCTACGGAGGAAACCAGTTCCTTACGTAGGAAACTCAGATCCCTACGTAGGAAACCCAGCTCCCTACGTAGGAAACCCAGCTCCCTACGGAAGAAACCCAGCTCCCTACGGAGGAAACCAGTTCCTTACGTAGGAAACCCAGCTCCCTACGTAGGAAACCCAGCTCCCTACGTAGGAAACCTAGCTCCCTACGTAGGAAACCCAGCTCCCTACGTAGGAAACTCAGCTCCCTACGGAGGAAACTCAGCTCCCTACGGAGGAAACCCAGCTCCCTACGTAGGAAACCCAGCTCCCTACGGAGGAAACTCAGCTCCCTACGGAGGAAACCCAGCTCCCTACGTAGGAAACCCAGCTCCCTACGTAGGAAACCCAGCTACCTACGTAGGAAACTCAGCTCCCTACGTAGGAAACCCAGCTCCCTACGTAGGAAACCCAGCTCCCTACGTAGGAAACCCAGCTCCCTACATAGGAAACCCAGCTCCCTACGGAGAAAACCCAGCTCCCTACGAGGAAACTCAGCTCCCTACGTAGGAAACCCAGCTCCCTACGTAGGAAACCCAGCTCCCTACGTAGGAAACCCAGCTCCCTACATAGGAAACCCAGCTCCCTACGGAGAAAACCCAGCTCCCTACGAGGAAACTCAGCTCCCTACGTAGGAAACCCAGCTCCCTACGTAGGAAACCCAGCTCCCTACGTAGGAAACCCAGCTCCCTACGGAGGAAACTCAGCTCCCTACGTAGAAAACCCAGCTCCCTACGTAGGAAACTCAACTCCCTACGGAGGAAACCCAGCTCCCTACGTAGGAAACCCAGCTCCCTACGGAGGAAACTCAGCTCCCTACGTAGAAAACCCAGCTCCCTACGTAGGAAACTCAGCTCCCTACAGAGGAAACCCAGCTCCCTACGTAGGAAACCCAGCTCCCTACGTAGGAAACTCAGCTCCCTACGGAGGAAACCCAGCTCCCTACGTAGAAAACCCAGCTCCCTACGTAGGAAACTCAGCTCCCTACGGAGGAAACCCAGCTCCCTACGTAGGAAACCCAGCTCCCTACGTAGGAAACTCAG